TATATATATACATATACATATATATATATATATTTGAATGTGTGTATGTATGTGTATATATACAGTATGTAATGTTCTGTATATTTAGAATTGATGATGTTTTTATATACAGACCATGGCATTAGTTATTCAACGTTTACATAATTTTTTTAACTCTGTTAGGTATGGATTAAACATTACTTCAGATTTCAAATATCCAACACCAAGGAAAAGTCTTCATAATGTTTATGGTGAGATATGAGTGCAATATAATTATGGTAATTTTTTCAGATACAGTATTGTCTTTATTATTCCATCATATTGGTTTAATTTTTAAATTGATATAGATAGGAGAATTTTGAATAATATGAAGGAAAAAAAAGTTATCATCAATTACTTCAACATAATGTGTACAAGCAATGAGAAATAACAAAAAAATTATAAAGGTTTTGTGTTATACTTTCATTAGTGTTTGCTGAAAGTTAAATTTTAATGATGATATATGGATGTCTACCACATAGATCGTTTCAACAAAGAATATGAAGACGCTGATCCAGAGAGCAACATAACTGATGGTGAAGGTAGAGTCTTAACTCTTAGGAGTGCATCTTCTTATTAGTCTAAATGATTTAACCAGTGCAGTGTACAATATTTAAATGTTTACAAAATTCATTCTCTTAACACAGAGAAATAATGTACATATATGATTCTTATATGAAATGTTTTGTGCAGGCATAGATTTACATTTGAATCACACCATGATTTTATATTTGTACAATAGATATATTTAACTTTGGTTCCCACACAGAGTCTTTTAACCAAGACCATGGGGAAGGCAATATTCGAGACTACAATATCATAGATGATGGAGAAAGAGTTGCATCAGCTTTTAGGAGTGCATCATCTGGTAAGTCCAAATGATTTAAACATTGCAGGATGTGAGTGTTTAATAACAGCTTTTGTTAACAATGAGAAACATTAACTATAGTCATTTCTCTTTTTAAATGAGTTTAAAATACATGTTTTTGGAATAACACAAGGTAAAAAGTCTTTTAACTTTCTCAAATTACAGAGATTATACAGAATATGATTTTACCACAGTTTCTGCAATGGTTTCCAAGCGTGTTCTCTTTATACAATTTTCACATTGCATGAACCTTTCAAGAATGCATCCCTATTGTAAATCAAGAAATACCTGCATTTGATACTCATTTGAAATATATTGTGAAGCAGTTGATTAGTATATATATCATAGTAACTGGTAAGTTTATAAATTTTCTCCATTAATAAATTTCAATTTGCAGTAGATGACTTTCCCTCCCATTTATATTGTGTACTTATTTCACTTCAGGC